AAAGTTTCTAGTCCAGAGGAATCCGGCTGCATTGTGGCTCATGAAAACGTTCAATTTTCCAATGGAAATTGCGAAACGAAGAGCTCAAAGCTTGCGGATGAAAATGCGAAATGCTGAACTGTATTCATGTGAAAGGAGCTACAGTTCTTTACGGTTTTCAACAAGATTGCCCAAACTAGCGTCAAAGTTGGAAACACTAAACTACTCCCACTGGTTCTACTCCGTGTACAGGGAGAATATCACAGCAAGGTTTAAACTGATCGCTCGTTGGTTGAGCTGAGCGTTGTAATTGCCGAGTTTCACTTCGCTGAGATGACCGGAGGTCGCTATTAAGCGAACGAGCGTTACTAAACTCCATGTCGGTGTTATTTGAGCATTTTTCCAAAAATAAAGCTTCTCATCATAAACAAAGACAACTCAATTGGTGTTTTCTGTCCTTGTTTTACCTCTTAAGTAAAATTTCTGCCTTCCTAGCCAATATAATGTCATTTGTCGAAGCATTCGCTAGGTTGAGAATTTGTGTATTTCGCTACGTAATTAAGCTTACCGGTTTATCGGAATCTAGCAAATCTTGTTATTTTGGTACACGTTACACTTCTGTTGTTAACAATAACCTCCAGACAGCTATGTTTCCACTGCGATTCCATTGCGTTTGTCTGAGTCACAGGGAACGTTTAATTAGAGTCACATGTTTCGAAATCTCGAATCAAAAATTTGAAATTCAGCTTGCCATGCATCAGTTGTCTGATAAAGCACGTTGTTTCAGCCAATCAGAGCGTATGTTATATGGAAACTTCATTATAAGATATATGTGTTGTATTGCATTGCATTGCATGCCATAATAGCCATTCCACATTCCCTCTATGAGATGTGCCAGCAGGGAATCATGGTTGTATTCATCATCTTGGATTGGATATTTGTTTTGATGAATACAACTACCATGATTCCCTGCTAGCGCATCTCATAAAGGGAATGGAACATTGTAAGTTATTGTATTGTACATGTATAAAACAAACATGCAATGGTGTATATATGACTTTTGCAGACTGCAGACTGCAAACTACATTTAGGCCTATATAGTGTTTTGGTTAGCCTAAAAATCACTCTGATTAGCCTAAATTTCACTATGGCTACCCTGACTATGGATTAATCAGGCTAGCTTGAATGGCGCCCAGGGTAGCCTGTTTACGGTTAGCTCTCGGTAATGGAAATAAAAACTGCGATAATGAATAAAACGTCTGCAAGCTGCTAATGTCATAAACCCCCCTGCAAATATTTGTCGGTACAGAATATCTTGAAGAGCCATATAGGTTATTTCCAATAATCAAATTCAGAGTGAAATAAGTTTTCAAACTGATATATTCTATTTAATGAGACAACTCAACACATTGCTTACCAGCATTTTCACCAAAGAGAATTCATTTCCTTGATATCTCTTGTCCACAGACACAGTGGTCACTGGGCCAATCATATCAAACATTGCAGGGCCTGGACTTTCCTCCACATCATTCAGTTTGCCATACAAACAATCAGATGTATTAGTAGAATATCAGATCATTTGTGAACACCAAA